CATAAGGAACCAATTAAATATAAATTAATAGATGAGTGAAAGAAAGTCTAGTAGGGTTGAGGAAGGTGAATGGGAGAGGGAGGTATAATTTGGTGAGAAGTGGAGGGACATAAGCTTAAACCAATTCCCATGCATTTTCATAATTTGTTGGGATGAACCCAACTAGTATGTGTAACTATAAAGCTCTAATTTAAAAAAAAAAAAAAGCAAGAATAAAGTGGAAAGGCCAGTTTGGTCTTAGGAAAAACTTAGCTACACTTTTCAAAAACCTTGTTAAAGACTTATTTCACCTGAATTTTTTATCCTCTAAAGAAAGCATGGAATGTGAGGTATTTTTCTGACACCATTCCTCACTTTCTAAATAACTAACTGCTCACACCCTGTTCCTACCACAGCACAGAAAGAGGGAGCCACAGTAGAGCTCTTGAGTCTGTGGTGTCACTCTAACTCAGTCAAGTGTCATTAGGACTCTGAGACCAACTTTTTGTGGATTTTGTTTTAGAATTGGAGACAAAGGTCAGCAGAGGATGTTGAATATCCTTTGCTTGAAAAGGTAAAGATTGGAAACAAAAAGACATTCTCAGCTCTAATAAAGGGACACTGCGGTGACAAATGAGCAATGTGTATGTAGAAATGTGATGTAAAAGGAGAAGTTCTTGTTTTCCAGCCAATTCTGTGTAGATGGCAGCAGATGAGCTGGCCAAGTATTTCTGATTAAATGGTACTGATAAAACAACAACAACAACAACAACAACAACAACAAAAAACACCTGTGCTCAATAATGCAGGGCTCACTAAAGATCACTAAAGAAGAGTAATCAAGATGGTGTTGGTTAGAACATAGATTCTCTGATACTGCCTTTGACCATTCCTCCTCCACAAGAGGTTCTCATGGAAAAAGTACACAACTAAAACAGTAAATGCCAACCAGATGCCAGTACTTTAAAATTCTTGCCATCTAAACAAACCCTGAGGCAGGACCATGGAGCCTTCCTTCTGTTCGTGAAGCTTGCTCTGATATTCTCTTTCTTTCAGAACTGGAGAAGAGCATTCTTCTGAGATTCTCGTCTATAGCTTTTTCTTTTGGTTTAAATTTGAAACATTTACCTTGTTATCTTTTATCCTCTTTCTATAGGCTGATATGGGTACATATCAGTTCCTATTGGTTCCATTGTATTTAATAAAATAGAAATTTATTAAAGAAGTCAAGCCTGCCTGGCTGGTAAGCCTGCCAACCATTTTCAGAGACACTGAATCCTTCCGTGTTTCAAAATTGAAATCTTTAGCAGATGGCTTCTGTCCTCAAGCATGCATCATGGTAAGAAGATAGTACTGGAGCCCCAACTATCACATCTGTATTCACACAATCTGTATTCACTCACACAGAATGTAGAGGCTGGGACCAAAGTCCCATTCCTTTATCATTTGGTACATAGAATTGTCTTCCGGTAGCTAGAAAGAAATCTGGGAAATGAAGCTTTTTCTCAGAGCTTTGCTTTCTTGACTTTAAGTTGAAACATTAGGCTGTGTGGTTTCTAAATCCTCTTCCAGTTCTCAAATGGTGAGCTCAAAACACTGTAAATTTCCTGACTTTCTTTGTAGCTAAGAGACATTCTTATGTGAGCAGCAAGAGGAATGGGCTTTGGGATGTACTTTTAAAGGGGTTTTGCTCAGATGGGAGAGTTTTCAGTTGGCTACACTAATGTTGTATGTAACATCGGGATTTCATTGCTACAAAAAGAAGGGAGAAGAGATATTGGGTAAGCAACTTGTGGTTGCTGCCACAAATATGACCTAATAAATTCATAAATCAGTTAATTTCCATAGACAAATCTCCCCCCAGTGTCTGCCTCTGTGGCTTTTAAAGCACAACAGCTGCATTTTATTATTACCATGGTTGGATCACTGCATTCTGAATCCTTCAGAGAGTCAGCTGAATTTTGACAGTTGAATTCTTTGGGATCTGACAATATCCAATTATACATTCTGGGTGTTGGCTACTTTTGCACAGATATATGACTATTTGTGTTTATAATTCATATAACGCATACTCGTTTTGACTTTTTCTAAGTAGTTTTCATATGATGTTTACTTTGATGCATTCCACAGATGGAAAGCTTTTAA